GCAGGGCGTGTGTTTCGGGGTACCCAGCTGTGATATATTGATTCGCAAATCGCCGTGTGATACGGTATGGCTTGGCTATGGTCTAGCACTCGTAGTAAGAACTAAAATATGAAAGATGATAAAATAGTTTTGATTGCTTACCACCTGCTTGAAAGTAGCATATGTGCTTACATAGAATGGTTAGTTAATGAACTAATGATCACTGCTAATAAAGTTGAATATAAGGACGCACGTTTAGTAATGCTTCCGCAGATGCAATAACCCATAAGCCAGATAGCTTTGTATATTCTTAGAGTCTTTTATTTTCTCCTATCGAGTAAGTCTTGCTGAGTACATTTAAGTACTCAAGGTTTTATTCTCCTGTTGTAGGTGATCGAAGGATGCTTAGAGCTGACTCTTATGTGTGGAAATCTCTTGGTGGGCTCAGAGATAATTCCTTTCATGCTACGACCGTAGTATTTATTTATAACCCTCACGAAAGGTTTTTATAAGAAAATATATAAAATCTGCTGGCATCTCTTGTATAAAATATCCACTATGTCAATGCTCCACCATGTCATTAAAGTAATCATGCTTCATCTGTAACTCTGATAACATTGTTATATTCCGCTGTTATAATAAATTGAGGTAATATTCTGGTAATGTAATAAAGTTATGTAAGAAATGACTTAAGAATCTTGTAAGCTTTATTCTCTCATTTATGATCATGATGGAAAAATATGGATTTTCGAGTTCTTCTTGGGGTGTGCTCGACGGAACTGCGTAGTGTCCTCTCTTAGGTACGTAGTGTCTAATGAAAGATAAGTACTCCTGAAAGGTATTAGATTAGTCGGTTTTGCCACATAATCTAACTATACTTATTATTTGGTACCCTAAACATTGATACTTTTTGCACAAACAAAGGAACTATAAAACCAAAACGCAAGTGGAAAGCAACGTCACTTGGATTCACCTAGAGACCTGTAGGCTCTAGCTAGCTTCCAAAAGGCAGGGCGCGAGCAATTATGGAGGAATCATGTTGACAACAAAGTGTCATTATGTTAGATAGAGTCACTAGTTGGTTTCTAAATGAAGTTTCCCTTATGCAGCAAATTAAATAAGCAGTTTTCGCGACCGGGTGTGTACCTGTTTTTCAAATTAAATAAGCAGCGTGCTTAGTAAGGAGGCTTTCACAGCGACAACTTGCTACAGTATGCATCACTTATTAGGGCTTGTTTAGCTGAACTCGTATTTACTTCAATCCACGTGCGTTAAGGTGGATTGGGATGAAAATTCGTTAATTTTGCACTCCAATTCATCTCAACACATGTGGATTGAGACAAATATATAAGTGCAACCGAACGAATACATGACACCAAATTTTAGAGAATAGTACCAACATCCATGAGACCAAATAGAAATACATCATGAAAATATTATTTCATGCTATATCTAAGACACTATTTTGGTATCATAAATATTGGTGAAATTTTGTATAATCCGGTCACACTAATTAATTAAGATATCTTGACTTTGGACAACTCTCTAGAAATTATTTTTTTAGACAGATAAAGTAGTTGCGCAATCGACATAGTAAATTATTATATGTTTAATACATAAATAGATACTATAGATAACATAAGTTGTTGCTATAGAATATAAATATATTTTAAAATATAATACTCCAATGATCTAGTTTTTGAAATCTCGGAACGCAGTTGTAAATAAACAAAATAAAAATATGGGCCACGGGTAGCCCACCTCCCACGATCTGCCAGTGGGCTGTAACCAGGCCGCACGGGGCCGCGTTGTGCCTTGAATGCGCGACGGCCCACGGACTCGTGTTATATAGTGTTTTGGCTGGGCCACTATTGGGCTGACGGGCCGTCCCGAGGGATTCGTTCGGCTCCCCACGAAAGTTCTCTCAGGTTCGGACAGGATGCGCACAAAAAGGCTCAAAGGTTCTGCTAGCTCAACCAATGACAGTAAGGGACAGACATGTTTGCTAATCACGTCTACAACAACTGTTTTTTTTTTCACCACAAGATCGATCAGTTCAATTCCAAGGTTTTCACCGTACCGGAGATGAGGCATGCCATAAAGGCATAGCCGCATATAGGTAGTACTAGATGCTGTCACGCTGATACGCAGTGGTCGGAGCCACCCAGCGAATGCAGTGCTTGCGTTGTGTCCATCTCCATATATATCCCAGTCGGCATCCCTATCTGTTTGTACCAGCTCGTAGGATGCCTCCTGTTCCAAAAGTTTCCCGTGCTTAGAATAGAATTATATATGCATAAAGAAATAGAGCGCGTGAGGTGGAGAGAGGCGACATACATCAACAGATGACTCTGATCACCGAATGGTTGGGAATTTGGGATGATGATGCATTTTAGTAGTCCGGGCCAGCACTTATTACGTACTACCCTGCAAAGATTAGCTATATATCCAGGGCATCCAGCTTAATTATACTTTGGAAATCCTTTCGGTACTAAAGGATATTTAGGTGAGCTCCCTCAAATGGTTGCTCTTTTTTTTTATCAGAAACAATTTAGACCCACACAAACCATACACACCACACACTCACATCACACATACGTTTATGAGTCCGTACACACGCAAAGAAGAGGTTGGGAGGCTCTCTAGCCTCCAGTGCCCTGCACGGGAAACACATAGTACTACCGAACATGCACGCTTGTACCCTAATTTTTCTAAAAAAATTATAGAAAAAAGGTGCGACTTGACAACCCTACTATTGGACCACACATCCATTCGCAAATGGTTGCTCTTTTTAGATAATAATGAAATGGTTAATACAAGAGACATATATACGACTAGTTTCTACTTTCTAGTATCCCTCATCATGCATGGATCAATTGATTGATTCACCTGTGACTGTGAGGTCATTGCATTTGGGTGCTTAATTGCTTCAGTTGTGCAATATACTCCCTCTATTTTCAGTTAACTGTAGTCATCGGTTTTCGTGCCGAAAGTTTGACTCGATGGGTAAAAAATATATGCAACATTTATATTTTCAAATAAATTTATTAAAAACTAGATTTAAATATCTATCTAATGATATTAATAATGTACCATAAATATTAATATTATATATATAGCCAAAGTTGTTTTTTGGGAAGCGAAAACGACAAATATTTAGGAGCTGATGGGGTATATCGCATAGAGATATCCATCTACGAGAACTCATATTTCTTCAGGCCTTGGATGCGCATGTATTTATCTCAATCCACATATATTGAAGTAGATTATAGTGTAATTAAACTAAATTCTATTACATTCAACACCAACACATATGAATTAAGGTGATACACATACATCAATCTAAGGCCTCAGTGTGTGTATAAGCGCGTTGCCAGTCAAACTAGTCATGCCGACCCGAAATCAGCATTGCTGCAACTTCAACTGCTTCGTACGGTACATGTGCGCCTGCTTGCCACAACGACCGCGTCTAACATGCATGCTGATGGGGTGTCTGATAGTCCATGGATGCTTTTCGATATAATACTAAGTGGGGGCTGTAGATGTTTTACTACAGTGCAAGTTCAAGTCTAGGTCAAAAGCTTTTGTACTCCTCTAGTTGTGCAGTGCAACATATATATATATATATATATATATATATATATATATATATATATATATATATATATATATATATATATATATATATATATATATATAACTACTACCTGTAGTTGGCTATAAAATAACTTATTCTGTAGCCACTTTTAGTTACATCATTACTATGCTAATTTACAAGATTACAGTAACTCCTTACTAAGTGGTTTACTATAATGTTATGGTAAATATCCTTATGTGTTATAATAACCCAACTATCGTAAATATGTATTGACATTATCATAAATTAGTATATAAAATTATTGTAAATGGAGGTGACTACATAATAACTTATTTTATAGCTGGCTACTGAATATACCGTGGACTAAATAATTATTCAGTACCCAACGTCCTGTTGGCAGACAAATAGGCCCACCGCCGCTCCAACTGGACAAGCTCCAGGCCCGGCCCAGACTCGCAGGACCAGGACCGTCTGCCCGAGCCCCGAGCAGCCGAGCGGCATCACCGGCCGCTCCCACCCTACCCCCACGATCTCACCACATCAATCCCACCCTGACGCCAGTTGCGCAGTTTTCTTCCGATCCACCTCCTCGCCGGCGCTGGCCCCCACCCCGTCCTGCAGCTACGGTTCCCACACAGCACCACCGTCAGCCGTGCTCGCCGAAGCCCCCGCGAGCCGCACGGGGTGGGCGACGGGCGCAGTTGCGGATCTTTGGACGCAAGGTTTCCCGGTGTCGCCGCCTCCACCTTGCCCTGCAGCAGGAGTCGCATCGGCGCCACCCTGCCACCGCCCCCCCCAACCCCGTCCGCCCACCTTACCCCCCGCAGCCTGCTGCATCAGACAGAAATTAAAGGACTTGCAAGCCCACCTTGGCTCGCCGCCCCTGCGAGCTCACCTGGCTCCGTCATGCTCCCCTCACCCATTAGCTCTCCGGCGCCACGGGATGCGACCGAGAAGTCCTAGGTGAAGGCGGACAGTCTTACTCGGTCGGTGGCAGCGCCGGTTACTGATGATTATCCCCATACCCTCCTTCAGTTTTGGAAGCGTAACATTCTGTCGTGTTCGTCCTAATAAGGAATTTTATGTTCAACATTAGGTTCCCATTTGATTTTAGGTTTGATCTATATGTCTCGTGTGGTTTTATTTGACCAGCTGATGGTACGCTGGGATTTTTTTTTGTGTGTGTTCTGCATCAAAGTCCAATTATTGTAACTGATGACTCCATCAGCCTCTTTTTGCATAGGGAGGTGCTGATAGGCCGGATCCCATGGACACCAGTGTTGGCGGAAGGCGGTGCTCACCATGCTGCTACTGCTTGCCAAGGATATGGTGGTGCAGCTGGCAAGGACCGGTCGGTAGGTGAACGTCGGCAGCCCTTTCTCGTTTAGGCACGGTGCAGTCCTCCCCCGTCCTCCCTGTCACGATGGCGGACAGCGTGTACGTAAACAAGGGTGTCAGCTTGCCAGTAAGCTGCAAGGAACCAATCTGCTCACTTTTCTCATGGAAAAGAATTATGATTCCTCTTATTTAGGAATAGTCATTGAAGGCTCCCCTGGTCAGGCAAGGTCACACTCGGAACCAAGCAGGCCCTTTGTCTCCTCTGGTCTCGAACTCTAACCCTCAGGTAATAGGTTTGGAATTCAGAGTAGACACCACCTGTAGCCTGTCTTTTAATCGTGGAACATTACATCACTTAAATTAATTGTGCATTTTTTAACTCAATGCTCTCATGATTTGAGTTTGGAAGTTGAGCCGGGTCATCACGGCTTGTTGTGGAGAACTTCTTATTTGTTATCGATTCATGAAAAAAAGGTGTGATTTCAATTTATTTGTGCAAAATAATATTTGTGGTCAGTCTAGGTCATCTACAAATAACTAAGGATTTTATGGTTCATCCATTTCATTTTTTTGGTAGCTAAGATTTTGCATCTACATATGTAATTATTTGTGTTTCAGAAACTAAATTGATGATAGCTTGTATATAATTAAGTTTACTATTCACTCGTAATATAATATGCTGGCTTTTAGATTATGAACCCATGACATTTTCATGCATTGCTTCTGTTTGTCTGCTGTCGTTTCATTGTCTATTAGTATTAGATTATGAATCAATGCCATGCCACATTTCTCTCTAGGATGATGTTAATGTGATTATTCCCCATTTAGATATGAGGTCCCTCTGCGACAAGAAAAGGTTAATATGTTGCAATATGGAATTAGTTTTTTCTAAATGAATAGACAAAACTAGGTACATTCATTTACAGCTTATCTAATCTTGTTTATGATTCTTTTCTTTTTAAATTTATATGTAAATGATCTGATGCATGGACACATAATTAGAGAACAATTTAATATACATGGATTTCAATTTTGCTATCACAAATCACCAATATTCTTTCATTGCACTTTGGCTTGTCATTTTGTCAATTACCACTGTTCATCTTGTTATAAAAGCTCATAAGATTTTCAATTCTTTAAAAGCATCTACCTTGTCCTGCATTTAACAACGATCAATGGCACTTTCAATTGCACATGTATAAAGGATCAATGTTTTGCCATCTGTATCCATGTGAATATGTTTGAAGTTCTCCTTTGGCTGCCAAAAACGATCTAGATATCGAACCTTGATCTTTGCTCCCTCTGATTCCAAGTTGTTGTATGATCTCTGTTGTCAAATAGTCAATTTATTTAATCATCAATATGTCAACATTTGTGTAGATTGAAAATATAGAGTTAGTACTTCTGGATTCTTCATTGAAAACACATTTACATTGAGGGAGGATTTGATATTTATTATTGGAAACACAATTTTTTAGTTTCAGTTTATTTTGATGAACATATATGCTGTAAGCTAGCCTTACCTCTCGCAGGTCACTCATACAAATTTGGTGAGAAAATAGGCAGCTGAACGTAGGTTGCCATACATAGGCTTAATTGATTTATGATGTAGTTCACAATTATTTTCCTTCTCTTGGTTAATTGAAAACATGTTAATTTTATTTTTCCAAAAAGAGTATATAGTGGCCATCAGCATGCATTTCATCTGGATGAATATCACAGCAACACATGCGATCTTGGCCTTTTTGCAAACTTAATATTCAGTACCACCACACCGCCTGGTTTAATGAGAGAAACATATTGTTTAATGATGTGTGGACTGTTTTATGAAAAAACGTTTGGGGTTTTATTTCTGTTTCAGAAGTGATCAAATGATTGTTGTTAAGAACTAATCTCTTATGCACTATGAGCTAGATTGTCGTGCCTAACTGCACCACCTACCACAAGGGATCCGTCAATGTGTTCACCCACCCCTTGCTTTTTTTAATGCTTGCTCCACCGGCAGCATCTTGCCATGAGTGCAGGTTCATTTGCTGCTGTTGGTGCGATCTAAATAGTGCTAAATTGTGTTTGCTTGTGTGCTGATCTTACGAATTTCATCAGGCTATTTAGAATGTGTTTTCATTTTTGCAACAAAAGATTTGTGGCTTGAAATGTGATTTATACAGTTCAACTATACTCAGGTAGTGTTTAGTTTCCAAAATTTTGCTAAAATTTTTCAAGAATCCTCGTCACATCGAATCTTTGGGACACATGCACGAAGCATTAAATATAAATAAAAAATAAAACTAATTACACATTTAGACGAAATTTACGAGACGAATCTTTTAAACCTAATTAGACTATAATTGGACACTAATTGACAAGTAACAACGAAAGTGCTACAGTATCATTTCAAAAAAAAATCACCAACTAAACAAGGCTTCAGTTGTACTGCACACCTTAGCCTGACATATGAATGATTGATTGCCTTTGTCTTCAGCTTTGAGCTGAACTCAGTTACCTGGCTAGCTTGGAGCCAAGCAACGACTTGCACATCTGTAGAAGTAGCAGCTTGAGGCTGGTTGAGCAACGACTTGCAAAAAAAGGCTGTAGAAGTAAGCTGCAAACAAGTTAAAATATACTTCTTTTCTCTCTTGAAACAACTATGAACTCATTCTGATATCGATTCTTCATTAACTCATCGTATCATCAGATTTAGATGCTTTCTATTTTCATATTTTCTCAATCTGATATCGATAGCAACTCATTTCATCAGATTTAGATGCTTTTTTATATTTTCTCATCATTTGTTGATGATTTCTTTCAGGGTTCACATGCAGCAGGGTCAAGAATTGGTGAATTGATGGGCCTTGGGCAGCAACAGGAAGCTGAAGAGCTGGAACTTCAGCGCTGCATTTTTGCAGCCAACAAACGAGCGCGACGGGCGTTGGCGTTGGCGTTGGCGTTGGCGTCGGCGTCGGCGTCGGCGTCGGCGTTGGCGTTGGCGTTGGCGTCGGCGTTGGCGTTGGCGTCGGCGTTAGTGTCACGCTGCCGGATGCTACTGCTACCGAGAGAGCGCAAAATGTATCTGTGGGATGCTACTGCACCCAAGCTGGCCACGGAGCTCTAGGATGGACGTTGGATCAGTTGGAGTTTGGCTAGCACCTGTCATGCTCCACCAGGAGGTCGAAGTGTTTGCTTTAGTGCAGATTCTTGTATTAGTTTCATATATGATGTTATGTAGTGATCACAAATGTCTGTATTTAAAGTTGTAAATTTGAGCTTTTCAGTTTATCAAGGTAGGAAAAGATGAGTTTTTTACAATTATGGATGCCATTATTTGTGACAAATGAAAACAAATTCTACCGGATGAAAAGTCGTTTTTCAATATCAAATCTTTGACGCACAATTTGCTTTGTTAAGTCATTTCCTAATGCCTGGTGAACGAAGAATAAAAAAATCCGAAAAAACACATGGCAAAAGTTGCCTAAAATCACGGACATCAAAAGGCCACATGGGAAAAAAAATTACGGATATCAGAAAACTGCACAAAAAAAACTGGCCACGGACATAAAAAGCTGCACGGAAAAAAAATCACGAACGTAAAAAACCAGACAAAAAGCATTGCCGAAAAAAAGTCAGTCCGGACGTAGCCTGTAGCTTGCTGGGCTGTCAGATGTGTCTGGGTACTGAATAACTGTTCGGTACCCGGGTACCAAATAGGGTTGTCCTCTATATATATATATATATATATATATATATATATATATATATATATAACCCATGAACTTCTTCCTAGTATCTTTTTTACAATAATTAATTTGAATAATTAATTAGTTCTGCATCTAAGGGGGTTCCAACCAAGCATGAGCTGATTCAGCTAGAATGGCTGGCCGGATCGATGATATGCAGATGCAGTGGAGGTGCTGGCTTCAAATTTTAGGTTGAGCGAACACACGTGACAAACATAATTTTAGGCGTATCATATTCTTACTGAGATCACATAAATAAGCCTGAATGGCTAATGAATGATAAATTTAAAGATGGAAAACACCCTCCACACTACTATAAAAACGATTTATGGCAACGTCTCTTTTTCTTTATAGGGACGACTCTATATTGAATTGTCTTTACGAATGGTTGCCAAATGAGCCGCTCTTATAAATAGATTTTATCGGTGCAGAAAATGACCAACACGTAAATATTTATAGTTTTGCCGTACGTTGTGATCGGAGGTGGCCTAGCACTCAATGACACAGGGTTTATACTGGTTCAGGCAACGTGCCCTACGTCCAGTTTGAGTCGGTTGGTGACTTTATTCCTGAGCCCAGGTGCTCGAAATTTGTAGTGGGGTTACAAACGAGAAGGAGAAAGATGGGTGTACAAGAGGTCCGGTCGGCTCCGGTCGGAAGGGCTGAGAGGCCATCCGGAGGTGGCTGGAGTCCGAAGCGAGCGCTCCGGTCGGAGAGGTGGGCCGAAGTAGTCGACGAGCGGGTGTTGTTCCTCTTTGGCCAGACCTTCCGGTCAGTGACTGAACCGCCATTTTGGCCTGTTGTTTTAGATTCTTGGGCCGGCCCATGAGTTGTGTGATGTCTGCTTGGGCCGAGCCTTGGAGTGGAAGCCGATCCTCGAGGGACCCCGAGTTTATGAACCCGACAGAAGCCCCCGATGCCCTGGGCGATTCGGGCAGAATCGTCGGGGGGGGGTTCATTTTGACGGCGGGTGCGCGCGAGCGCACTCGTGGGTGTAACCCCCGAGCCCCCGGGCGGTTCGGGCAGAACCGTCTGGGGGGTTTTCTGTGTTGTCAGTGGGGGAGGTTTTCCGTTTCGTCGGTGGGTGCGCGCGAGCACACCCGCGGGTGTAGCCCCTGAGCCCCCGGGCGGTTCGGGCAGAACCGTCTGGAGGATGTTTGTTTAGCGGGCGTGTGTGCGTGTTTTTAGTTTGAGACGGAGTTTTGTTAACCAAGGCATCGTTGCGCAGCCGTGGTGTTTAGTCGCTTGAGAGATTGGGTGAGATGGAGCTTGTGGATCCTGGCGTCGATGCGCGCCGTGAGATCGAGTGAGGCAGTTAGTCTAGTTAGTTTGGGATCGGGCGAGGCGACAAGGCGGTACTCACGGATCCTGATGGGGCGAGATCGGGGTCGTAGACCCAGGTAGTTTTTGGAGTGTAGTCAGAGCATAGCCGGATGGGGCGAGATCGGGGTCGCAGACCCAGGTGGTTTTTGGAGCGTAGTCGGAGCGTAGCCGGATGGGGCGAGCTCGGGGTCACAGACGCAGGTAGTTTTTGGAGCACAGTCGGAGCGTAGCCGGATGGAGCGAGATCGGGGTCATAGACCCAGGTGTTTTTGGAGCGCAGCAGAGCGTAGCGGATGGGGTGAGATCGGGGTCGCAGACCCAGGTGTTTGGAGCGCAGTCGGAAGGGGCGAGTTCGAGGTCGCAGACCCAGGCTTTTTGTGTCTTGAGCCCCCGAGCCTCGTTGGGCCTTAGTAGGGGTCGGTGTGAGTTGTGTGCGTTACCCCATCCTCGGTTCCTCACAATCGGAGGGGCTGAGTTTTGTCGCTTGTCCTGATCGCTCGGGCTCGAGTGACGCGCACGGTGAGTTCGCTAATGGGTATGATCGAGCGGAATCTGGGTCCGTCGTTCGTGACGGGGTCGGCATAGCCCTCTTGTGACATTCCACTGCTCCTTTATCTGCAACCCAGCAGATGCCTGGGTCATTCGGAGACCGACCCGGGTGGCCTAACGGCCTCTCCTCGATGGAGATTCTGTGGGCTTGGCGAGAGGTTTAGGATCGAAAGAGAAGGTTGAGATGATCCGGTCTACCAGACTGGGCGAGGGCCGCACGGGGCTCATCTACATTTTTCTCCCCTGGCTCTATTGGTTGCTCATGTCGAATGAGGCAACCGCCGCTTCGTGACGCAACACAGAGCGTTGTGATGTATTTCGCTGCATGTGCGATGCTTAGTTCCCGAGCCCCCGGGCGGTTCAGGGCCCGAATCATCCGGGAGGCATGGACGTAAGGAATGAATGCGCGTATGGATGTATGAAATGATTATAAGGAAATAGAGGGGGTTGGTAGTGTTCACCTTGATGACTTGAGGGACGGGGTTCAGAGAGCTTCAGTCGGAAATGTCCGACCGGGACCCATGCTCGTCATTCGTGACGAAGTCGGCATGGCCTACATGGGGCGTCCCTTCGCTTCCTATCTGTGTCTCGGTGTGTCTTTCTGAGCCATTCGATCGACTTGGGAAGTCCGATGGTCTCTCCCGGCGGAGATCTCGTTTTGGGTTTCTCCAAGTCCTGCCTAGAGATGCGGAGAGCTGCCTGCGTGTGGTGATGCTTCGGTTTTCACGCCAGGTTGTGCGATAGTGGTGGGCCATACCCAGGCCATGTTTTGTCTCGCCAGGCGGCGTTCCGTCTGACCCAGTGTCGTTCCATCGGTCAGTGCGTGTCCCTTCGATCAAGGCGTGTCCCATCGTTTCCCATCCGCATTGAATGGGGGAAGGGGCGAGTTTTTTCGCTCTAATCTTTTGCCCTTCTTTGGCTGCCGCGTTTCTTCCTTAAATAGGGGGAGGGAGAGGGCTCTTCGTCACGGTCCTTTGTCTGTTCTTCCACTATTGTTTCTCCTCCTTCTTCTTTCTCACCGAGAGTGCCTGTATGTCATGGCGGTTCCTAAGTGAGAGAGGGGGTGAGCGAGGGGGAGGACTTATAGATCATTTCGTGAACCCAGAGCGTGATGTCGAACTGGAGACTGCCACGGGGGGTGCTGAATTAATCTGTGAGGCCTTTTTCGGGATGGAGCCGTGTGTGGATTTTCTCTAGTGGATCTTCACCGGGCAAGCTTTGTCGGAGGGGAAGTTGCTCAGGATCGTGTCGGTGGAGGGTTCCGCGTCTACAGCTGCTCAGGTTGGCCAATTCATAAAGTTTGATGAGATTTCTTCCTACCATGGCGGCCATACGTCAGTAGCAGCGCCCCTACCTAGGAGCTGCCTCGACTACATGAGAAGGTCAGGAGCTCCATGTTCTTCTGTTGAGCATCTATGGGTGCGATGCCCTTGAGGTACCCGTTGCGCTTCGCCGAAGTCGAGGGAGCGGAACCGAGCGGGTCCCTTGAGGTACCCGTTGCGCTCACCGAAGTCGGGGGAGCGGAACCGGGCGGGTCCCTTGAGGTACCCGTTGCACTCGCCGAAGTCGAGGGAGCGGAACTGGGCGGGGCACCAGCGGTTGTGGTTATGTCCGGCGTCGCATGTCGTGGTTTCTCCTTTGGCGTTTAGGCGATGTCGTTGAGCGGCCACAGTAGTATTTGTACTAGTAGAAAATGTAATAGTTGAGTTTGTGGGTGAGTCCCTGTGTGAACAGTTTTTTGTATTAATGAACACATCAGTACTGCTTTTATGACAGAACCACGATATTCGTTCCTTGTTTTTATTCTAGCATGACTTTCATTTTTATCCTTTTCTCTCTCTCACCTGCTCGTTAGTTCCGTAGGCTACAGCTGTTAAGAGCCTGGGCATGGCCCGCGGGGCTCGGCTGCTTGTAACCGTAGGTCGTGGTGGGGTGCGTTCGGTTGGGAGTAAGAACAGAGTCACGTAGGGTATTTAAAGGAATGGAATGTGCTTCCATTCAGGGACAAAGTTGTTTATCATGTGATAGTAAGAAAAAGAGAGGTAATATTCGATGTTGTACCCTTATGGAGCCCCCGAGTGCCTCGGGCTGAAAGTTTTCGGGCTGGGGGCGCTTTTACAGGAGCATGTGCTAACTAAAAAGCGGTTAGACCAAATTTAGGGGAAAAATGACGTAGCTGTTCAACATTCTAAGTGTTGGTGAGAACATTGCCGCTGTTGTCCTCCAGTCGGTAGGCACCCGGTTGGATTACTTCGGTCACCGTATAGGGCCCTTCCCATGGTGGAGAGTGCTTGTGTTTTTCCTTCGTCGATTGGGTCCTCCGGAGTATGAGATCACCGACTTTGAGTATCATTCCTCTGATTTTCCTTTCATGGTACCTGCAGAGGGTTTGTTGGTAGCAAGCGGAGAGGATGACGGTCGTCTCGCAGGCCTCTTCGAGCAAGTCGACTGCATCTTGTTGAGCCTCCATGGCTCGACGCGGTCGAAAGCCTTCACTCTTGGGGCACCATGGTCGAGGTTGGAGGGTAATACTGCCTC